AATAAAATGGGTCCCTTGTGTAAATTTCCAAATGCATATTGCTAATAAAGAATCCTAGGAGGAGGGATGAGGTAAGGTAATTACAAATTGCAAAGGACAAAATAAGCAAGGACACAAAAGTGTTGCCAATTCACCTTGTGATGTTCTATGCATATATAGTGATCTATCTTTCAATCTACTATCACAAAATTGTTCAATTCTATTACACTGTCGTACCATTGTTTTTGTGTATAGTCTTGTTGATTATGAGGGGAGTTTGAAAAATGTAGCTGAGAGAAACCACATTGTCACATAAATAAATAAATAAAATAAACTTTGCAACTACTACTATTTATTTCGTATTGCACCTTTGTAACCATATGGTCAATACAAATCCAAACCACTAAAGTACTTGACATTAAAATTACATAACATCAACAACTAAGATGCATTGGACCACTAAGGTGACACAAAAGTGTGACCATTCTACAGATGGAACCTACAATTAGAAAGGTTACAAAACAGAAAACGAGTCGGTAGTGTGACATTAAATATACATATTCAATTGGGCAGTGACAGTAGGTGAAAGCAAGTAGAGAGAAGACATGGATGGAGCCAAGACCAAAATGCATGACCCTACACTGTTCTCTATAATTGGTAAAAGTTTTTTGTCGTTTTGTAAACCGATTAATCTCTCCTATCATGTCTTTCCATTTTCAACTTTCACGTTTCAGTTTTGTGTTTCTGTCTACACAAATAATTTGAACCTTGCTCAAAAGCCACATCAACGGGCTTTTTTTGCGCTTCATTTCAAGATTTTGGATTTACGTTGCCTCTATTACAAGACATTGTACTAGTACTATGCTTGTTCTTGTGTTGTTGTCTCCGTTGTGGAGACTGTAGAGATTCTTTGGTTGAAATTTTCATGTTCCAATCTTTCTTTTCTCAATCATGGAGAGTAACATTGATAAATACTATAAAAAAACAATAACATAGGAGTAACATTTATTAATGAACATGAAAAAGGACAGTGTGTTAATGTTGAAAACTATATCAAATTAATGAAGCTCGATCGCTCGTACAAACCTTGTCACGTTTCCATCGTATAACTATTGTAACATATTGATATGATGAACTTGTTGACATATTAAATCTTAACCACTTCATTTGTTTGTTATCGAAACAGTGATTAGTTTTTAACTTTAACATGATGTTAAATCTATCAATTTCTCCATACTAATCAGCATTTTTCTTTGTTATTGCTTATTACAAAATCCAGTCACCCGTTATCATAAAGCGTCATTATCTTTTGCCTTAAAGATAAAGTTTTACGAAAATTTATTAGGAGAAAATTTTGTAGTTTTGATGTGGGTGAATTTTGAATCATTGTATATAGCCAAATCTTTAGCTTGATAGTTGTGTTTGAAATAATAACTTTACTCATTTTGAATTGAAGAAAAAATTTATTACTGATTGACAAAATTTTACAAAATTGTTGATATATTAAAAAATATTGAAGTGAAGATTGATGAGGGGACACAACTCTACTTTGGTTAATCTTATTATCCAAATCATTTAAGTCCTTCAAGGATGCTCTCTTTTATAGCAAGAATGTTACTATTATCTTGGATGAAGTTTTGGAGGATGTAGGTCAAAAGAGTTTTCAATGATGAAAGAATTAAAGATTAACAATTGTGGTAAAGGCTAGAGTACTCTCTTAGAGTAGGGAGTGAAAGTAGAGGAAAGTCCAAATCTAGAGGTTTTGATAAGTGAAGGTTAAAATTATTTATTTGTTTGAAAACTAGTCACATACAAGATGAATTCTTTCGATGAAGGGTCATGTAGCTTTTGTTCAGATTGTAATTGTCTTAGATAAGTATATATGGTTATAAAGGTGTTGGTGCGTTAGGGGTGGCAAGTTTGGAGACCGAAAATATTTGGGTCATGGACATATAATGTTCTTATCACATGTGCTCAAGAAAAGATCACTTTGGAAATTTGGTGTTAAAGAATGTGGAGTCGTTCAACTTGGTGACAATAAAGTTTGCAAGGTTCATGGTGTTGGTACGATTAGACTAAAAATATTTGATAATTGTGAGTTTCTTCTACGCAATTTATGGTATGCTCTCGAGCTCGAACGAAATTTATTTTCCATAAACATGTTTGATGATATACACTATTCCACTAGAGTTGAACATGGGGTGATAAATTTACAAGGTGAATGGATCATCACAAAAAGGTCTAGAATACATGGGCAACCTATTTTAGATGGTTCGACTGGTATTGACCATGCATCATTATCAAGTGAAGACTTTTATGACAAAAACAAACTATGAAATTTGAGATCACGATATCTTAGTAAAAGATGAATTGACAAAGGCTTGGATATTTTTTTGTATAAAAAAATAATGAATTTTGCATGAAACAATGTATAAAGAAACATAAAACCGTTGTTGACATGTTTTTTGGAGTTGGATTGCCAAGAAGTTTCTAGGATAAGGCTAGTGGTAAAGTAGCTTACCTAATCGACAAATATCATTCACATTAATAGACTTCAAGAACATATGAAGCCTTGGAATACGAAACTGGTAGACTACTCTAATTTAAAGGTCTTTAAATCTTTTATGTTTTTGCATATCAAGGTAGACCAGTTTGATACTAAGGATGTGAATTTTGTTTTCATTGGTTATCAAAAGATGAGAAGGGTCACAAGTTGTGGAATGTAAAACTTGGAGGGTCAAAGTTCATAATAAACAAATATCTTACTTTTAGTGAGACCTGTAAAGGAAGAAAGAGTATGTAGATATGAAAATATCATAAGTTATAATTTAGAATACTCTAGTAGAGGTGAAAGTTCTTGTTAGAGAGACTATGGATGGTAAGGAAGTCGAGGCTCCTGATCTTAGTTTTAGTGAAGGAAAATTTATAATGACTTTTGATTATCATTTGACTCGTGATAGAGTATGGAGGGAAATTGTCTCATCTCGCGTATATGATTGTGTTGACCTTGTTTGTTATTGTATGAATGTGGCTGAAGGGTTACAAAACTCAAAATCAATGACCTTCAGGGAGGCATTAGAAAGCAAAAGGAGTCAAAAATATTTGAAGACGGTGAATGGTAAAAGAAATTCAGTGATGAAGAATCATAATTGTGGGTTTCCTCGACTACCTCAATATGAAGGGTGGTTGGGTGCAAGTGAATGCAAGTGCTTAGATCGAGATTCAAGTATTATTTGAATGTGGCCAAATTCGTTTAATAATGATTCAAGCTTTGGGAAGATCAACAAGGTAGTTGATGGTTAAATCGGAATCATCATTGATTTTAAAGTCAATATGAAGAATTATGGATATTTGCTTAAAACCAATTTGGGATTTCATAAAAACGCATTGTGTTTGACATAAATGTGGTGTGTTCCAAAAACACAGTGCGCCTTGGAGGAACACATTGTGTTCTTGTGTTTCTTTAGAAACGCACGACATCTCTTTTGGCACCTATAAAATTTATTTTTTAACCAATTTATGAGCAAGAAAGAAGAAGTGTCACAATCCTAATGAGAATATATATATATATATATATATATATATATATATATATATATATATATATATATATATATATATATATATATATATATATATATATATATATATATATATATATATATATATATATATATATATATATATATATATATATATATATATATATATATATATATATATATATATATATATATATATATATATATATATATATATATATATATATATATATATATATATATATATATATATATATATCTTTGGAGGTATTAAAGAGGATTGAGAAACACTTTTAAATATATTTGATTTGTGTGATTCAAATATTGACAATTTGAAAAATTATAAAACACTTTGATAGAAAATAAGAAATATTATTGATAATTTTAACAACTAACTTCTTATAACTATATTATAATATCTTGTAACATCTTTTTAAATATAATAAATTGATCAAAGATAAACAAATTTTGTGTACTCATTACTTTATCTTATTCTTCTTACTCAAGTGAATTTGTTAATATACATTAATTTTGCTTGAAAATTTATTTTGATTGTAATTGTTCTTTATCCCCACATTTCAAAAAGATATTAGTGGGATTAACCTTTCAATTTTACATCAATAAGCTTCATTCATATGTTATCTCAAGCATTGTGACTAGTACTCACTATTATGTTAAAATAAATGAATTCAAATAGTTTAGTTTCATGGCTACACATTCACATTTCCTCAAATTATTATGGACATGTATATCACAATGTTAGCGTTGTGTCTAATGTGTGTTTTCAAGATAATGTGACAACTGAACTCACAAGCCATAACAAACTAATGCTATTTAGTTGCATGTGTCACGTGCATGCCCCTCACCTATCACTCTCACTACTAAATTCATATATAAATTTTTCAGACAGTGATTCTTTCTTTTTCACCCTTAGTTAATTTATACTAAAATAATTGTGCTTCTAGACAACATAAAGACATAATAAAGTCTCATTTCATTTCATTTTCGCACCAATGAATGACTCTACTAGTAGTCACTACTTATGAGATCCTGAGCCTCTAGGCATTGATCACTGATCACAGCTCATTCTGCGCCAAACCACTCAGCTTTCATCAGTCACATTACCCAACCCATTTCTGTGTTATTGTTGTGTGTCCCTTTCACTCTACCTGTCATGGATCCTCTAAGAAACCAATACTATCCCTTTGATGTTAACATTGCTCCCCTGTGCAGCCTCAGAATAACAACAGTCATGATACAATAATTAAAAGCAGTGCTAGATAGATGTAGATAACGACTTCATAAGAAGAAAAAACACCCCATTTCCCTACAACCAATCCAACTGTACAAAACCCTTTTGAAAAATCCAAGCATTAATTAACCTTAAAGTTAGAACCCCCAACCCCAAATAAAAACATAGAAAATAAATGCAAAACGAAATTAAGTCGAAAACACCCCGAACTAAACCAATATGTGACTTCAAATGCTTAGGAGATCGGGCGGTGGAGATTGCGGAGGATGTTGATGATCTTTCGAGGCTGAAGTTGGAGATTCTAAAGCGTTTGATGGTGACAAAGAGGATTCTGTAAATGTTGAGTCTCCTAGTTTAGACTCGGGTGACTTTGGAAGCTCTGTCAGAATTTGAACAACTTCGCGCATGGTTGGTCTTTCTACTGCTTGTTCTTCAACACAGAGAATGGCTACATAGAAAACATGCATGACCTCATGAAGTGGAACTGATGAAAGTCTAGGATCTAGGACTTTTAGAACTCCTTCTTTGTTGGAGTCTGTCATTTTTCTCACCCATTGCACAATGTCCACACCGTCCCCGAATTCTCCTACTGGTTTCCTTCCGGTTACAAGCTCTAAAAGAACAACACCGAAGCTGTATACATCGCTTTTCTCGTCAACTTTCAATGTGTACGCGTATTCTGCAATCAAATATCAAACTCATAAATAAACATCATACTATCAAACTCAATTATAGCAACCATGTTAATGTTAATAACAAACCATGTGCAAAACAAAGTATATGAGAAAGCAATAGACTAGACATATTGCCAACCATCAATGGTGGGGGCTATGAAAAAAAATCAAATAATGCAGTGCTACCTACCATTTATGTTTGATCAAATAGTCAAAATCTACAGTCTACACGGAAACCATTATGTCTGGTCAGTTAGTCAAAATTATGAGCAGTGATTAAATGTACAATTATGATTTTGGAAAAGGAAACTCAATGTATAATTCATCAATTAAGTTGAGCTTGAACAATACCTGGAGCTATGTATCCATATGAACCAGCAATAGCCGACATGCATTCCGATGTTCCAGAATCTTGCAGGAACTTGGCCAGCCCGAAATCAGCAACATGGGCTTCATAATTAGAATCAAGAAGTATGTTGTTTGATTTTACATCTCGATGAACAATAAGTGGAGAACAATCATGGTGCAAATAGCAAAGTCCCTTTGCAGCCTCCACAGCAATTTTATACCTGGTATCCCAATACAAATGACCCCCTTTCTTTCCATGAAGAACTTCACCTAAACTTCCATTAGGCATGTACTCATAAACCAAAAGATTTGTCTCATGGCTTGAACAGAAACCCAACAGCCTAACAATGTGCCTATGTCGGATTCTCCCCAATGTCTGAATCTCAGCATTGAATCCATGATCATGAGATGAACCTCTGCTCATAACCGGAAGCCTTTTAACAGCAACAAGTTCCCCATTCGGCATCGTCCCTTTGTAAACAATGCCAGCACCTCCTTTTCCTATGATATTATCCTCCTTCAAGGAAACCAAAACATCATCAGCAGTGAACTCCAAGCGTTGAAATGAGGTCAATTTCCACGCACGAGCCTCGCTAGCCTTCTTCAAAGACCGGGCCTTGAATATGGCTGCAATAGCAAATACAATGGAGCATGCAAGCAACCCAATAACAAGTAGTAGCTTCACAGTAGAAGAAATATGACCCTTGTCATGATGAGGTTGATTAGCATCATTTACAACACCATCTTTACAAGCACCCAAATAAGGTCCACAGAGATCAGGGTTTCCCAAGAAAGACGTGTAGTTAAAGTAACTGAATTGACCGGTACCAGGAACCAAACCAGATAGATTGTTATACGAAAAATCAACAGAAGTTAAGCTTTGCATTGAAGCTATAGAACCAGGAATGCTACCAACTAAATGATTTCTCGATATATTCAAGTAATTCAATATCCTCATACCAGTAATCTCATTTGGAATAACCCCAGATAACTCGTTACGACTAAGATCAACAAAAGTTAAAAGCTTGCATTGACTAATCTCAGGCGCAATAGGACCAGAAAACTTGTTATGACTAAAATCAATCTTTGAAAGCTGTTGCAACCTTCCAATCTGTGATGGAATCTTACCAGAAAACATGTTACCATCAAGAAGAAGCTTCTGCATGCTGGAAAAATCACCAATAGAAGGAGGCAATGATCCCGAAAGTTGATTGTTTGAGAGAGTAATCTGACCAAGATTAACTGAAACAGAATGAGTCTCAGGAAAATTTCCAGAGAGATAATTATCTTGAAGCTCAACCTGAGTTAGTTTCGGAAGTCCAAAAAGACCTTTAGGAATTGAACCATTCAGAAAATTATCACCCATTCGAATCCTATTCAAAGATTCACAACTACCAAGAGATTCAGGAATTGGACCAAACAGAAAATTCCCAAGAGTTATCAGTGTTTGAAGATGATTCCCAGAACACAAATAAGGTGGAAGTGTACCAGTTAACTTGTTTGAAGAAAGATCTAGAAGAGTTAATCTTCCGTTTCTTCCCAAACTCATCGGAATGTTACCGGTGAAGTTATTCTCCCACAACTGAACAACCTCCAACGCCGGCATATCTCCGACAAACTCCGGAATAGCTCCGTGAAGTTTGTTTCTAAAAAGATTAAGAAGCGTGAGATTCTTCAGTTCACTGAAACTCGTCGGAATCTCACCGGTTAACATGTTGTTAGACAAATCCATGGATTTCAAGCTTTTCAAATTTCCAAGCTCCCATGTAAGAGAACCTGAAAGTGCATTAACTTGAAGAAACAGTGTGTCTAGGTTCTGAAGCTTCCCCATCTCCGGCGGTATCTCGCCGGATAAACCGCAGTAAGCTGCGTCGAGACGGATAAGCTCAGTCAAGTTTCCAATCTCCGGAGGAATGCCACCGGTGTACGTGTTGAAATATCCAATGTAAAGCTCTCGGAGACTGGTTAAGTTTCCGATTTCCGGCGGAATAGTCCCGGCAAGTTCGTTACCGGAAACAGCTAAATACTCTAACTGTTGCCATAGTCCATACTCCGGCGGGATCTGACCGGTAAAGTAGTTACCACCGAGATGCAAATGACGGAGATTCGGTAACTCGGTGACAGCAAGAGGAAGTGTTCCGGTCATGTTGTTGTTGTACAGGTCAAGAATCTCGAGGCTCTTGAGCTGAGAAAGTTCGGCCGGAAAAGTTCCGTTGAAGACATTGTTGGAGAGGTTAAGCAACCGGAGACCGGATACGGCGGAGAGCGACGGAGGGATGGGACCGGAGAATTTGTTATCAGCTAAGGAAAGGTTAGAGAGAAATGGAAGGTGAGCAAGATTATCCGAGAGTGTGCCGGAGAGGTTAAGTCCGGTGAGGTTAAGAGCGGTGACGTGGCGGCGTGCGTCGCATGTGACGCCTAACCAGATACAGTGTGTGGTTGAGATGTTCCATGAAGAGAGAACGGGAGGGGTAGAATCCGTAATTGTTTCACGGAAAGAAAGAAGTGCGCGGTATTCTGAGATTGGAGATGGAAGAACATTCTGAAAACGGAAATGGAATAGAAAGAAAAAGAGAAGAAAGAAACGCATTTTTGGGTAATGGAAGAAAAATGAGTGAAAAAAGAAAGAAAGAAACTAAGAACTAAATGAAGGAAAAGAACACGCAGTGAGTGTGTTTGTGTTGGTTGAGGTTAGGAAGGAAGAGAAGAAGAACCAACCACTGAGGATTGAAACTTTAGTTAGAATTAAGAAAGTGTGCTTTTCTTTTTTATATAACTTTATGGTTGAATATTTAGGACAATGTCTCCTTAGAATAGAGGGAATATTTATGAATATGATTTGAACTTTTTGGTTTTTATTAGTTGGAAAAGAAGTAGGGAAGAAAATGGAAAAGAAAAGAAAAAGAAGAATTGGACCAATCATTTGAATGGACTCGTTGTCGTTTTGATTTTTGAGGGATGAGTTGGTGAATAATTCGGTTACCCATTACCAAATCTGTTTTTTTTCTCCTTACTTTTTTGTGATTTGTTGGTAATAGATAATTGAAGCTAGATGATAGTGGAACTTTACTATTTTTTGTTTGTGTGTTTAATGTACGTTTGTTTTATGCGAAACCATTTTGATGTAATTTCATGTTGCTTAGACATTAGTTTAATAAAGTTAGTGGAAGGAATGGGTTTTACTTTTTAAAATGTCTAATGGCATTAAGTAGAGATTTTGATCTCTAAAACGTACTAGAGATGTAATGTATCCCAAGTGAATTTTTATCTTAATATATCATTTTAGAGTTTTGTTAATATACACACTTAAGTATCCATCAAATTTTATTAGATACCGCTACTATATGAGATTGATGATTTAGATAAGTCCATATATATTGATCAACATATGATTGTAAGATTTAGTTAAATAGAAGTTTTCTTAATTAGTCATTTAATCACAAAATATTTATTTATGTTTAAAAAAATTATACTAATGAATTAATTGTATTATTATTATTATTATTATTATTATTATTATTATTATTATTATTATTATTATTATTATTATTATTATTATTATTATTATTATTATTATTATTATTATTATTATTATTATTATTATTATTATTATTATTATTATTATTATTATTATTCTAAGAGCAACTTTAACGCAGGGTTGTTAAACCAAAATTCTTTATAGCTTACGTCAGTAATAAGGAATTTGCATTATAGGAGAACTGACATGAAATCCAAATGAACTAAAATTTAGTTCTCATTATCTATATAATTAACGTTAACTATGTGAAACCTATTATAATATTATTTAATATTAATAAAATATTTCAAATATTTCAACAACATTAAATTAAATATTCCATCAACATTAAAGTAAGGATATGATATTTGAAAACAGTAACGGTCATATTATCATTTTTTACCTTCTATAAATTCTATAGAAATTTTAATTTTTTTTACACACAGTTTTACTTCTAAATTTTTTTCTTTCAATTTCCAATCTTATTTATTTATCAAATGGATCTCAACCAATCGAATCCTTATTATAATTATATTCCTATGAAAAATGTAATTTTTTTTATGTATTATTGTTGTGAATTTTATATGTATTATTTTTAAGATGTAATTTTTGTATTATTTTTATGTATTATAGCTTACTTCTATTTTTTTTTACACACAATATTATTTTTATGTATTCCTATGAAAAATTTAATATTATTTTTAAGTTTTTAAGATAAATTTTATTTAAAAAATTATGTATTTTAATTAAAATAATTAAATTAATGGTAACTTGAATAAAAAATATAAAATGTGGGGTCAAGTTTTGGTTTCTTATAGACAACCACCGTTAAAGTAAAAACTACTCAAATCAACTATAAATTTTTTAAATCCTACCAATCACTTTGGGCCCACAAAAGTATCTTAGTTTACCCATTTAGTTTACTCCCACTAAAGATGCTCTAAGCATGATTAGTAGTATTAGTTAATAATTGAACATGAAGTTCTAACCTTAAGTCTCTTTAGGGGTGTTCTTGTCAAAAATATTAAAATGTTAATTTCTCTGAAACTAATTAGGGAAGGTCACAAATGACTGGGTGTTCTTGCCAAAAACATTAAAAGGTTAACCTCTTTGATGCTAGCTAGGGAAGGTCACAAATGACCGGTTAGTCTGTCTATGATTAGTATAGAGGAGGAAGAGGTTATCAACTCCATTTTTTATCCCTGAGTCTTACATGCATATTGCTCTTACCCCGTTCTCCCCCCTCAGTTGTTGGTCTCCAACCCCTTTTATTGAATAATCATGATTAATAGGCTTTATGGCCATAATAAACATTGTACATCCCGGAAAATTAGTTTGACCAGTCAGGATATAAGATCGAGGGATCATTTATGTACATACCAGAATTTTCTTGAGGCCAAGTTAGTGTGACAACCGAGTATGTTTCATGTTAGCAAGTCGTTAGCCGCATTATACTTACTAGTTGGAATTCGGTTAGGGTATCAAGGTAAGCAAGACGTAGTTAACCTCGTATAAGCCGATAATGATCTAGTTACTGCAACTTGGATCCAATGATAAAGCTAAAATACCATTTGAAAGGTCATAAGAAATAATTGCATGGTGATACATTATGACATGGGAGTTATAATTAGTGAAGAGGCAGACGTTCATGGCAATTATAGTGATGACTGTAATTGTTATCCAACTAATGACTATCAAACTATATTTTTATCATATATAATAATAAATAGAGAGTATCTTAGGATCCTAGGGAATGGGAGAGAAACAATATTAATAAGGAGGTCTTGGAGACCAATTGGAGGTAGGAGCACGATGAATAACATAAAAAAGAGCAAACTTAGGAGAAACCTTGGACCATCAACAATGCTAGCGAAAAATCCTTTAACCTACATACACAATAACCAATCATTTAATGCTCTCCCTAATTAATAACAGGGAAGTCAACCTTTTGATGTTTTTAGTAAGAATATTTGACGCCCACTATGAGACCCGGTAAAACTGACTCGGGCCACACAACCATACCTACAGTGTAACCTTTCCAAAATCTACATGAGGTTACCTATCACCTTTATGAGAACTCATGGTAATAAAATTTGAGATCAATATCCCATTCACAAATTATATGGATTTGAAAAGTTATTTCCTTAATGTGTACTTGAATGAAGAAGTCTACATTGAGCAGCCAAAGTGATTTATTTATCCATGCCTTCATAATCATGTCTATAAACTAATAAATATTCTCTATAGCCTCAAACAAACCCCTAGGGCTTGTTATAGGATATTCACATAATTTCATACTATCCATGGTTATGTCTTAGGAGGAATTGATAATACCCTATTTAGAAGGATAATTGGAATATATTGATGGCTCAGATATATGTTAATGATATTGCTTTTGGAGGGATGTCAAGCAATATGGTTTATCATTTTGCGCAACAAATGCATGATGATTTTAGATGAGCATGGTTGGTGAGCTTACCTATTTTCTTGGCTTTCAAGTGAAACAAATGAAAGTTGACATCTTTATTTCCCAAAGTAAAAATGCTAAGAAGATTGTGAAGAAATTTGTCTTGGAGAATGCAAGACACGAACGCGCACATGTTACCACTCATGTCAAGTTACCAAAAGATGAACAAGGAGTATATGATGATCAAAGCCTTTACATGAGTATAATTGGAAGCCTCTTATATCTTACAGTCAATCGACCTAACATTACTTTTTAAGTGGGAGTATGTGCTCACTATCAATCCAATATGAAGGTTAGTCATCTCACTCAAGTTAAGCATACCATTAAATACATAAGTGGAACATCTTAATATAGACTTTTGTACTCCTTTGATATAAACTCCTCATTAGTGGGATATTGTTATGATGATTGGGCAGGTAATGATGAAGATATAAATATCACATCTGGTGGATGTTTCTTTCTAGGGAACAATTTAATTTATTGGTTTAGTAAAAAGCAGAATTGTGTCGCCCTTTCAAGTGTATGGGAAAATATATTGTTGTTGAAAGTAGTTGCACTCAATTGTCGTGGATGAAACAACTGCTCGAAGAATATAATGTGACACAAGATGTCATGACATTATATCGTGACAACTTGAGTTCTATCAATATCTCTAAAAATCATGTCCAACACATTAGAACCAAACATATTGACAGTCACCATCATTTCATTCGGGAACTATTTGAAGATAAGAAAATCACCCTTTAACGTATTTTATAGGCAAAAAAATTGGATGATATATTTAGAAAATCTCTTGATGTTATAAAATTTGAGAATCTCTAATCAGTCTTAGGACTTTCCATTATCAACTTATAACAATTATTGAAAGTGTGGCTAAATGATTTTTCTTGGTCTTACTGGGATTTTTCTTGGCCCACCACACATCTCAGAAATGATGTTACTTGTATCTTTCAGTCCAACAAAGATTTTTTGTATTTAAATATTCAAAAAAAATTCCCATTCTTGATTTTTTCTTCTGCGCCTCAAACCTATATTTGACTTCAATTTCCTATGCAAATTTACTAAATCACTCTAAAAGCATGGTATGAACAAGGAGAGAGACAAACACTTATGGAAATGGAAAGAAGAAATTGAAGAAGAAAAGCTTTGAAAAGGACTTTGTAGTTACGAATTCTCATGGAGTTCGAATGAATGGCATAAAGATTAAAGGAAAGGTTTATGGTAAGTTCAAAGGTATTTCTCCTCTTACCAAGTCTAATAAATTCAAACATAAGACTCTGAAGAAGGCAGATGATTGTATCCCTCTTCCCATGTATGACCTAACCGATGTTGTCTCTGGACCTTTTGGGAACATGGAAGTGAACAAGGATTTTGAAGCGACTCACAGTCCTTCATTAGCTGCTGTCAAGATTGAGAGATCTCTGATTGAATGTCCTTATAATGTTGTTCAAGGTAAATGTTATGAAATTGTTATTATTAGTGAGACTATTTTTTAAATAAGAATCAAGATATAACTGGTCAAATAGAGGTAAGAAATGATGTTATAAATGAGTCTGATAACTTGGTTCAGACAATATAGGCATTTAATGATTGTAATAATCCTCTT